CTACTAGAAGATGACCTCCTCTCCGATGATCTACCTCTAACAAATAAAGCTTCAGAGTTACTATCATGATTTTTATCTCTATGCCTCATTTCATAATTCATTAAGGCATTTGACACATCTTCAAATTTCACAGTTTCTTTACCATGCATAATAGTGGTAACAAAATGCTCATAAGAGTCCGGCAAGGGAATTTCAACAATATTAAGGCCTTATCTTCATCCTTAATATCCTCATCTAAATTTAACAAGTCGGCAATCAACTTATTAAAAGCATCAAGGTGTCTAATCATTTTTGTACCTTCTTTGAATTGAAAGCGGTAGAGCTTTTTCTTCAAGTGTAGCCGGTTCTCTGCACTCTTCGTCATATACTTGTCTTCCAATTTTTGCCACAACACACTTGCTACCGTCTCCCGCATCACAAAATACTTTTGAGTTTTTGCAAGGCACAACCGAATTGAAGAGCAAGCCCACAAATTTAATTTTTCCCATTCTGGCTTCGACATAGCTTCCGGCTTCTCTCCTAAAGCGGCAAGTAGATCTTGTTGAGCCAACACATCTTTGACCTCACATTGCCACATCCCGAAGTTGTTTGTGCCATCAAACTTTTCCACTTCAAACTTTGCATTTTGCACCGTAGTTCTTGCAAACCCGGAGCTGCTTCCAAAAGGATTCTCATCTTGCCCGTCTGACATCTTTAGCAACTAGACAGTACCCAAGAGCAACCAGTGCTCTGATACCAATTGTTGTGCTAAGATAGCACCAAACCCGTTGGAACCAACTCTTGATAACTCACAGAAAATATATCAAATGAAATGCAAGAACAAAATATTAAAGACACCAAGATTTTAACGAGGTTCCTCAACAGTCAGTGTAACTGGAGTACGTCCTCGAAGCAGTAGGAGCTCACCCAATAATCCACTATCAACCAAATGGGAGTTTACAAAGTGTTGGCAATCTCACAACCCAAATAACCCAATACACCCAATAACTCTCACACTCTAAAGAAACAAATAGAGAAAGAAATATCGTGATTAATTTCTTCTCTATACAAAGCTCAAAGCTATTACAACAATAACACTTTGATGGAGTGAGAACTATCCAATGAAAGGAACAACAACTCCTTCTCTCAAAATGGTACTGCAGCAGTACCTTCTTTCTCTCCCTCTCTTCTCTTCGGCTCACCAATTTTCTGCTCACTTAAAAAAACAAAGGGCAGCAGCTTCCTTATCATAACATAGCCATTCATTCAAGTCACCCCGTGACTTCCCATGGACCAAGAAAACTTAGACAAAGTGCTTTTCTTTTCCCCAAAACAAGGAAGAAACATCATAATGTTGTCCCTTTTTCTTTTCCTTTTTTTTTTTAATAGCCGAAAGTTGTTTGTTTGGCCATAATTCAACACAAACGTGATCAACTTAGTTTAGTAAGTTTATTGTTTATTAAATCAAGTTTAGTAGTATATTATTCTGTTTCTATTTCCCTTATTGTTTGTAGTTGTTAGTATCATTAAATTTGTGAAATGGCTAGTAAGTTTGAATCGATCAGAATTGAGAGGCTCAATAATGTCAATCATCGTATATGGAAGAGAAGGGTTGCTTATCTTCTTCCTCACGAGAAAATTCTGTATACAATTCAAGATGAGGCACCCATTGAGGGTTCTCGTGCTTTTACAAAGTGGGAGAAGGATAATGAAATGGCTCGTGCCACAATTCTCAACCATATGGAAGATGAATTGATTCCTCTTTATGAGGGATATACAACTGCAAAGGAGATCATGGATATTCTTGAAGACAAGTACGGTCCCAAATCTCAAACTTATATTCAATTACTTCTTGAGAAGTACAACGGGACACGTATGTCTGAGAATGATAGCATGGTGGACCATATTGCCAAGATGGAGATTATGGCAAGAGATCTTTCTAATGTTGGCCATCCTATTTCTGATGAAATGCAAGTCTCTATACTTTTGAATAGTTTACCAAAGTCTTGGGATCATGTAGTAACTGCTTTGACATATGGTCAAAAGGAATTAACCATGACCACATTACCTGCGATGTTGGTTATAGAGGAAGTTAGAATGAATCGGAGGAAGGAAAATGACAAGATTAATAGAGATGGTTGTCTCCTACTAGCTGAAAGTTCACAAAGTATGCCACAAAAGAATAACATAAGGAAAAACTCGAAAGAGTTTACACACAATAAGGGCAAAAAAAAAAAAAATAAATAAAATAATTGTGTTCCTTTGTGGTGAATTTGGACATTATAAGGTTAATTGTCCTAAACGAAGGAAGAACAATGATACGCCCAAGGAATTGATTCTTTGAATCTTTTCAAATATGATATATTTACTACATACTTTGAATATTGTATTTTTGTGTAAGGTGTAAGATTATATTATGTACACATTTTCTATCAATTAAACTATTTATTTTATGTATAATGTTCAATTTAATATACAGTATAATTACTATGATACTAAGAATAATGTATCAAAGAAAACCCACGGAAGCACAAAGTTCCACTAGTAACCAAGAAATGGTTTAAAACCAAGACATTGTCAATGATCAAGTGGGAGAGAGATATAATCAATGATCATGACAATGATATGGCTAGTAATGTGCTACTAGGTTCTAATAGTAATAATTAGAATAGTGGGAGAAAAAGAAAAATGAAGTTGTCAACAAGATTCGAACGTCAATTAAAGTCTTCAATTTTGAATAGATTAATCAATCAGTGGGAGACCCAAACAAACTTCGTTATGGTTTATTTTATAATCAAAGAATATGATTATGTTTTTAATCAAGCACGTTGACAAGAAGTCAACATGTTTACCAAGAACTCAAGGTATGGAATTCATTGAATTAAGTAATATGTGTTTTTCTATTATAGTGCATTTTTGCAGGAAATTTTGACTAAAAATGTAATGGTCGCTTCTTGATTGATTAAGAAACAAAGTTGTGTTATAATATGGGCTGGTAAGTACTACAATATATGGTCAATGTTTATTGATATATATGGATTGTATTCCTAGGAATTATGTCAATGTGCTTTATGATAATAAGTCCACCATCTTCTAGGAATTGTTAGTTCCTAAGGAGAACACATTGATGCAAAGTATCACTATATGGAATTATAGTGGAGAGGGATGAAGAAAGAGTCGACTGCACACCCTTGGGTAAGATGGTGACTGATCCTATGACCAAAGGATTGCTCTGAAAGGTTATTCAGAGGAGTATGTGACTACAAATTGGAATCATCTAGATGTGTGGTCGGAGCATGTGGTATGGGCATCATTGGAGGAATTTCGGGGATGCCTAAAATGAACAATTTGATGCGACTCTATCTGATTGGTTGGTCAGATAAAAGATAGAGGAGCACTAGCGGGGTAACAGAGTTATAACAAATCTTCTTGTACGTAAAATCCGTTTATAGGCATCAAGTTTGAATTTGTATAACATCTTGGCACATAGTGTGTAAAGTCGTTGATAAGGTGTATCGATGAAAGCCTTTGGATTGGCTTAGGAGGAAGTACTTGATCGAAATTTCAATGCAGGTCAAGTTGGACTTGGCTAAAGTCACCATTAATACTACGTACGAATGGTATTTTCCTAGTAAAGAGTAATGGTGCCATTTTACTTGAACGATACTAAAATGGAGTCACTGGTAAAAGCGCGGTCAGTAAAAGTGGTCAAAGCGTGCGCACGTATAAGCCAAACCACTGACTGATGACAATTTAAAAATGTTTGTAAACTACAGTTGGAAAGTCAAGAGTGATTAGGATTTGATACTCTGTAATGATATCCAATTCGTGTAGCCAACAAGATCTTACATCATCAAGATCAAGTGGGAGATGTTGGAATATGATCATGATGATGTTGGCTTTACTATGTGTGTATTTGATGTTTGGAGGTGAACCATAAGATTGGTGTACTGATATACACTTAACCAAAGGGTGTGATAAGAGGTATGACTTATCATAAGAGTTATACCCTTTTATAAGTGATATGTCTTATCATGAAAGGATAAGACCATTCAGAGAAATCTCACAACTCTATGGAAATGGTGTGATGAAGTCGATAAAAGGAGGATTCATTCCTCTAGACAAATTATCAAATGTGAAACAGACTCTCTTTTTCCCTTTGGTGTGCTACTTTTCTCCCTTGGCATTACCAGGTAGTAATCAATAGTCTAACGACATTAGAGTTTGATCCTGTGACAATTGTGCTAAATTCCATCACTACAACTGTAAGTTATCAACATATTCAGATTTAATTCCTCTATTTTTGTTTATGGTCTAGGAAGTGCTATCGACCGTTATTTAAAGTCCTGAACTCAATCAAATTTTTCATGTGCTGAATCCGAATGTAATCTTTTCTCGAGAACATAAATCGTTGAACGAGAGATCTTCCAAAAGTATTTAGTACCACATAAATGGGGAAAAATTCATTCTCTAATTCGTTCTTGTTGTTCAGCCAAGTTTACGAGTATAAGATTTACCTATAAGCCAAGCATGGTATCAGAGCAGGTGTACCACACTAGATAATTATGAGATTTTTAACATTTCAACATTTTATTTTCATTGTTGACAATGGCAAGTAAGAAAGATATATATAGTTTCATGAATTTTTCGTGTTACATCGTGTATATATATTTGTGCCAGGTTCTCAAAGCTACCATTTTTTATAAAGAGGAAAGAGATATCTGTAGAGAAGTCAACGATATCATTCCTGATATCTTGGCTGAATTTAGGAAACAAATTTGTAATTGATTTGTATAAGTTTATTTTCCTGCTGTATACCTAGAGAGTAGGGTAGTTTACTTCTTAGTCAAGAATTCTTCTATGTATAAATCTCTTTGTATCAATAGAAGAAACTCACTTCCACAAAATATAATCTTGCTTTATTTTACATGGTATCAAGAGCTAGGTCAAAACCCTAGTTCTTGCCGCTGCCCTTTTTTTTTTCCTTGCTATTTTTCAATAGCCTTCTTCCGTCAACCATCATGGCCACTGACGAACTTTCCAAAGATGCTGCAGCTAATGTCAAGACTGATGTTTCAAACCCTTTGTTCATCCATCGTTCAGATCACCCCTCTATGATGCTGGTTTCGAAGCCCATTAATGGGGACAATTACTCTACCTAGTCCCATGCAATGAGGATCTCCCTTAGTGCAAAAAACAAGCTAGGATTTGTTGATGGTACTGTCACAGCCTTCCGAGAAGACCAAACCTGCCGACCATGCTACATGGCAGAGATGCAATGACATGATCGTTGCGTGGATCATTAACTCCATTGATTCAGAAATTTCTGATAGTATTCTTTACATGACTGATGCTCATGCAATTTGGGAGGAATTGCGAGAGCGTTATTCACAAAGCAATGCCCTTTGGATTTTCCAGTTAAAACAAGACATTGCTTCTCTTACTCAAGATCAACTCTATGTTGCTGCGTACTACACAAAGCTGAAGAAATTGTGGGATGAGCTGGCGTCATACAGTGACTCAACTTCCTGCACGTATGGAGCGCAGAATGAAAGGAACAAATTAATGCAGTTTCTTATGAGCCTCAATGAGTCCTATAGTGCCATTCGAGGGCAAGTCTTGCTGATGAATCCTTTACCAACTGTTTGTCAGGCTCATGCTTCAATTTCCCAGGAAGAGAAGCAAAGATCTCTTACTGCCTCACGTGGAGTCACCGAGACAGTAATTATATCTGTTCGACAAGGTGGTTCATGATCATCTGGGTCTTCCAGTTGCAAGCCCTTACACTATACTCATTGTGATCATGACTATCACACCATTGATACTTGTTACCAGCTTCACAGATATCCACCGGGGCATCATCTTCACAAAGTCAAGCCTAAAAAAGCAAGCAAGCCTTCTAAAAAGGAAGGCAGTTATTCTTCGTATGCAAATCAAGTTTCAGAATGAGCCACTTTGGAAGAGATGAAATCAGTAATGTCTAGGTTATCTGACACCCAATTCTAGCAAAATTTCACATAAGGAATAATAAATGAGGTGATGCCTCCGTTCCTCCAAAAGCTAATGCCGCTACCATGATGAAAGGTTTGTCAAAATCTTCTTTGCCTTTATGTCGATGGATAATCGACAGTAGTGCAATAGACCATATAACCTCTCCACTAGATTTACTCACTGATGGTGTCCAAAACACCAATTTGACACCAGTTTTATTACCAAGTGGAGAGCAAGCTCGCATAGTCTCCACTAGAAATGTTCCTTTGAGTTCTACCTTTTTGTTGTGAGATGTATTGTGTGTGCCAACTTTCAAAGTAGATTTGATGTCTGTGAATCAAATTACAAGTGGATTGCATTGTTTTGGAACTTTTTTCCCCTCGTGGTGCATTATGCAGGACTTGACGACGAAGAAGGTAATTGGTTTGGGTAAGCAACAAGGAGGGCTCTATTATTTGGTGGCGTTGATTCCCACCACATCTGGCAGCTCACGCCGAGTCTACAACCTTGTTCTCTCCCCTACGGAGTTGTGGTATCGGCGTTTGGGTCATTTATCCTCTTCTAGGCTAGATTTCATGTTGAAGCACCTGTTGCATTTTCCTTTTAAATCAAATAATGCTTGTGATGTTTGTCCATTAGCCAAGCAAAGTCATTTACCTTTTGGTGTCAGTTCCATTACTACTACAAAATCGTTTCATTTGATCCATTGTGATATTTGGGGTTCTTATAAAATTGCTTCAACTTCTGGAGCAAAATATTTCTTAACTATAGTAGATGATTACTCTCATTTCACATGGATTTTTCTTATGCAACACAAATAAAAAACATAACACATCTTTAAGAAATTTTTTCTCTTTTGTTCATACTCAGTTTAATACATCCATTCGCCAAATAAGAGTAGACAATGGTGGAGAATTTTTTTCCCTTCGTGGTTTCTTCCAAGATCATGAGGTCATTTATCAACACTGTTGTGTCTATACACCTCAACAAAATGGGGTAGTCGTGCGCAAGCATCATCACATCTCGTGTTTTGCGTTTCCAAGCTAGCCTTCCTCTTTTTTTTGGGGGGGTGAATGTGTACTTACGGCTGTCCATCTCATTAGTCGTTTTCCTACCTTAATCATTTCCCATCATCCGCCTTTTGGATAGTTGTACTCAAAATCATCTTCTTTTTCCCACCTTAAAGTCTTCGGATGTCTTGCTTATGCAACCAACACACACCTCTCCCACAAATTTGCCCCTGAGCTCACAAATGTGTCTTCCTTAGGTATCCCGTTGGTCAAAAGGCATACAAACTTTACAACCTTACCATTCATAAATTTTTTACTAGGCAGGATGTTGTTTTTCATGAACATATTTTTCCTTACCATTCTTCTCCATCCTTTACTTCACCTATCACTACACCACCACCTACATCCTCTCCTGACTTCCTTCTTTCTTTACCAAGTCCCTATTTGCCTGAACCTCTATCACCATTACTTCCATATATTACCTTACCATGCCCTTCTTCACCCTCACCTCATTCAACACCACCAGTGTCTAGGGAATCTTATACTGTTATTTTTTCACCCAAGTCTTTTACAAATTCTAATCTTCATCCTGATGCAGCCCCTTCCGAGTCCCTTTCTGCCTCATCCGTGCCTCTTACACCTCCTGAACCGGTGCTTCACCACTCTAGCCGTCACTCTTCTCTGCCTCCAAAGTTGCGAGACTACGAATGCCCTATTCTCAAGCTTACCTAACCAGATCATCTGTCGTCTTCGTCATCTAGTCCCACTATAAGTACACGTTATCCATTTGCTAATTATCTCGCTTATCATCGCTTATCACCTGCACAACAATCTTTTCTTGCAACTATCACTCAATAGGTTGAACCCCAGATTTATGCCAAGACTGCTGTTTCTCCCCATTGGCAGGCTGTCATGGCTTCCAAATTACAGGCTCTGTAAGCTAATCATACTTGGACTCTTACCCCCTCCTCGTTGACAAATCTCCCATTGGTTGTCGTTGGGTCTACAAAATCAAGCTTTGTTCAGATGGCTCCATTGAGCGTTAGAAAGCTCGTTTGGTTGCCAAGGGCTACACACAGCTTAAAGGTATTGACTTTCATGATACTTTCTCTCCCACTGTTAAAATGATCATTGTTCACTGCCTCTTAGGTCTTGCTGCTTCCTGTCACTAGTCTCTCCATCAACTTGACGTCAACAATGCGTTTCTTCATGGTGACCTTCATGAAGAAATATATATGCTTCCTCTGCCGAGTCTCCGGCGACAGGTGGAGAATTTAGTATGTCGCCTTAACAAATCTTTATATGGACTAAAGCAAGCATCTCGTTAATGGTTTGCCAAGTTTTCCGAAGCTATTCAATCTGCTGGTTATGTCCAATCAAAGGTTGATTATTCTTTGTTCACACGGCAGGGAGGCAAGTTTTTTACAACGCTCTTGATTTATGTTGATGATATTTTGATCACTGGGAATGATCCTGATGCCATTAGTGCTCTCAAAACATTCCTTAATAGTCATTTCAAAATCAAAGATCTTGGTGACTTGAAATACTTTCTGGGCATCGAAGTGTCACGATTAAAGAATGGGATTTCTCAACGTAAGTATGCTTTAGAGATTTTGAAGGATGGTGGTCTCTTGGGAGCTCTACTAGATCTCACATCGCCCAGGGGTGAGTATCCTCTATGCCTTATATGTACATGCCCACCTTCATATAGCATGAGGCCTTTTAACAGCTCACTGGAACTCCGAAGTTAAGCGAGAAAGGGGCCAGAGCATTCCCAGGATGAGAGACCTACTGGGAAGTTCTGCTCACGTGAGGGGATGTGGTGGAGCCTTGTGTGACAATTTGGTATCAAAGCCAAACCCTGGTCAAAAGTGTGTCAACGAGGATGTCGGGCCCTTAAAGAGGGTGGATTGTTAGATCCCACATCGCCTAGGGGTGAGGATCCTCTATGCCTTATATGTACATGCTCACCTCCATATAGCACAAGGCATTTTAAGAGCTCACTGGCTTCGGGTTTCGTGGGAACTTCGAAGTTAAATGAGAAAGGGGCCAGAGCATTCCCATGATGGGTGACCCATTGGGAAGTTTTGCTCGCGTGAGTTCGTAAAAACAAAACTATAAGGGCGTGGTCAGGGTCCAAAGTGGACAATATAGTGCTACGGAGGAGGCAAGGCCCGGTATGTGGTGGAGCCCGGGTCGGGATGTGACAAGCTCGCCCAATTAAGTTTCCTATGGAACAAAATCTTAAGCTTTCAGACAATGGTAAGTTGCTTAAAGATCCAGCACATTATAGGAGGTTGGTGGGTCGATTGATCTATTTAACGATTACTAGGCCGGACATAACATATTTATTGCATGTGTTAAGTAGATTTATGCATGAACCTCGCCGCCCACACATGGAAACAGCTCTCCAAGTTTTGAAATACATAAAGAGTACTCTTGGACAAGGTTTGTTTTTCTCTTCTAAAAATGACTTTACCTTAAGTGCATATTGTGATTCAGATTGGGCAGGATGCCCTACAACACGAAGATCAACCACAGGGTATCGTGTTGTTTTGGGTTCTTCATTGATCTCTTGGAGATCAAAGAGACAAAAAACTGTGTCTTTGTCATCAACTGAGGCTGAATATAGAGCCATGACTGGAACTTGTTGTGAACTATCATGGCTTCGATATCTTCTAAAGGACAGGTTTGTTGCATCTAAAATTGGCCTTATGACATTGTGACAACAAATCAGCTCTTCATATTGTTGCCAATCCAGTTTTCCATTTGCGGACTAGACATATAGAGATGGATTGCCACTTTATTCGAGATAAAATACAAGATGGTTCTGTTGTCATTCGATTTGTTCCCTATTCACACCAACTTGCAGATGTATTCACGAAAGCATTAGGGAAGGAAACTTTCTCGTCCATTATACACAAGTTGGGAGTTCTTGACATCCAATCTTTAACTTAAGGGGGAGTGTAGAAAATTCAACGATATCATTCCTGATATCTTGGCTTGGTTTAGGAAACAAATTTGTAATTTATTTGTATAAGTTTATTTTCCTGCTGTATACCTAGAAAGTAGGGTAGTTTACCTCTTAGTCAAGAATTCTTCTTTGTATAAATCTCTTTGTATCAATAGAAGAAACTCATTTCCGCAAAATATAGTCTTGCTCTATTTTATAATATCGAGTCGTCATACTACAAGAATCTAAAAAAGTTATTAGAGGATCTATTTGCTTCTAGTGATGGAGAATCTCATCCTATTCATTGTTACTCTGCTGATGACCTCATCAGGGCAACAAACAACTTCAGTCCTTCTCGCATTGTAAAACAGGTTTCATTTTACGATATGTTCCGGGGATTTCTAGATGGCCGATAAATTATTGTATCAAAGTACTACATTCGGAACTGGTCAAACGAGGATAGGGATAGGTTTTGCGTTATTCGTGACATTGTCATTTCATTACAGATGAGCAACCATGAGAATGTTTTGAAACTCTTGGGTTGCTGCTTAGAGTTCCTATACCAGTGTTGGTGCAGGAATACGCAGCAAAAAGAGTTCTCAACTCTGATGGAAGTTTAAGTGGGGCTAGTGAAGATCAAATCATACTACCATGGAACATTAGATTGCGTATTGCAAAGCAAGTTGCTAGTGCAGTTTCATATCTCTATACCGCTTTTGCCCGAGCCATCATTCATAGGTATCTGAACCCCAGTTGCCTGTTCTTGGATGATGACTATATTCCTTAACTTTAGGACTTCTCGCTCTCTATAACCATTCCTCCTTCTGTTTCAGATGTTGAAGATGCTGTGGGAGGGACACCTGGGTACCTTGACCCTTCCTGCATGCGATCTGGTCGCATTTCAGAAAAAACTGATGTTTACAACTTTGGTGTTCTTTTACTTGTATTCCTGACGGGACGAAAAGCTCTGGAATTTAATCAGGCGGGAGAATATGAAACTATGATTTCATATGTTCTTGAATTGTTGAGAAAAATTTAGAATAAACAACTCTAAATTTTATATGTCAAAGAAGAAATTCACTCAAAATTTTGAGACACAACAAAAGACTTTATTAAACTGAAAATATTACAAAGAAAGCTCTCAACTCTCACAAACACTCAACACATTATAAGACTTATAGTCTTATTTTCTTCTTCACTTCTTGATGATTTACAAGGCTAGAGTACTTGGGTATTAATGGCAAGCTATATGAGATACACACCACACATTTATTTAAACTAATTAATTCCCTACCACACAAAGTGCTTTACAGCAAACTTGCCACAAAATATCATCTATTCCACACATGTTGAGAAGTTTCTACGAGCTTCAACAAATTGCTAGAGATAGGACTTGGGCTTTATCATTTGGGCTTTGTATGATAGCTTGTGTTGGAATTTTGGGCTGACATTGATTCTTAACACTCCCCCTCAATGTCAGCTCTCATTCTCTGTATTATGTGGAGTTGTCGACGAAACATTTCAAGCTTGCATGTACTTAGACTTTTTGTGAACAAATCCGCAACTTGATCATCCGTCTTGATCTGTCTCATCTCAATTTCTTCTTGCAGAACTTTTTCTCTGATAAAATGATAGTGCACTTCAACATGTTTAGTTCTTGCATGAAAGACCAGATTCTCCGCCAAACGAATTGCCAATTGATTGTCACAGTACAACGGAACTACATAATCCACTAGTTGATGTAAATTATTCATTAGCTGTATCAACCATGTACTCTCTTGAGCTGCCATTGTCGCTGCTCGATACTCAGCTTCAGTAGTTGATAATGATACCGTTGACTGTCTCTTGCTACATCAAGAAATTGTTCCGGAACCAAGCTTAAACACATACCCAGTTGTTGATCTCCTGGTGTCATGATCTCCTGCATAGTTAGCATCACAGTAACCAACTAACTTGCAGTCTTCACCTTTCTTGTACAAAAGACCATAGTCAATTGTACTCTTCACATATCTCAATATTCGTCGAACTGCTTCCAAGTAAGGCTTCTTTGGATTTTGCATGTACCGACTCATCACACCAATTGCATAAGAAATGTTAGGTCGAGTCAAGGTTAAGTAGATCAGACTACCTACCAATTGTCGATACATCGTCGCATCTGCCAAATCTTTTCCTTCATGTGCACACATTTTGGCATTTGGCTCCATCGGCGTTGAAATCAGCTTGCATTCGAGCATTCTGAACCTCTTCAACAAATCTTTGGCATACTTCTATTGACAGAGAAATATTCCTTATTGTGTGCGATCAACCTCTAGACCAAGGAAGTGCTTGAGTTGACCAAGTTCCTTCATCTGGAAACGGACTGATAAATTCTCATTCGTCCGAAGAATTTCTGCCTCATCATCACCGGTTATGATTAAGTCATCCACATACACTAGCATAATAGCTAGCTTTCCTTTATTAGCTTTGACAAATAAGCTGGAATCTGCAGGTGTTACTGAATAACCACTTTGTGTTAGAAATTCAACAATCTTACCATACCACGCCCTGAGTGCTTATTTCAATCCGTAGAGTGATTTCCGCAGTTTACACACATATTCAGGATGATCTTGGCTCTGAAATCCCATTGGTTAGATCATGTAGATCTCCTGATCCAGCTCTCCATGAAGAAAAGCATTCTTCATATCCATCTGCCACAGATTCCAGTCTGTGTTGGCTGCAAGTGCAAGTAAGACTCGTACTGTTGTAAGTTTTGCCACTGGACTAAACGTTTCATCATAGTCTAGTCCACACTGTTGAGAGAAACCATGAGCTACCAATCGTGCCTTGTACCTTTCGATTGACCCATCTGGATGACGCTTTATCTTGTAAACCCACTTGCAGGATATGGGTTTCACATTTCTTGGCTTTGGCATGAGATCCCAAGTCTGATTTTACTGAAGTGCATCGATCTCTTCTTTCATAGCTGTCATCCACTCAGAACTCTGTGATGCTTCTTCGAACATCTCAAGCTCTGTTGCTTCTTCAATTATGGCTGCATTGGCATATTTAGGATTTGGCCTTCGTGTTCTTGTTGACCTTTGAAGTTGAGATTGTGGAGTTGATTATTCCATTTCACTAGGCCCATCTTCTTCGTTTGCTTGTTGATACACGCCAGTTTGCCAAGGATTCTGAGCCACTCTTTATTCGACATCATCGCCATTTGGACCTCTTGATTCATCTGAACTTGGTTGGAGTTGGATAGTATGTTCCCCCATCTTCTGTTGCAGCTTTTCTCCAAATTCTCTGGAGTTTGGTAACACCTCCTTCTCTGAGGACCATCAAGAAGACGCTTCATCAAACACTACATCTCGTGAAGTGTAACATCTTCCACTTGTTGGATCGCAACATTTCCACCCCTTTCTTTGGCTGTCGTATCCCACAAAGATACATTTAATAGCTTTCTTGTCAAACTTGCTCCGTAAATGATTAGGAAGAAATACATAACATACACAGCCAAATACTCAAAAGTAGCTAACTGTAGGTTTCATGTTCCACAATTTCTTAAAGGGCGAAACAAATCCTAACCTCATTTGAGGAAGTCTGTTGATCACAAAGGCTGCAGTCCTTATTGCTTCAGCCCAAAACATTCCCGGTACGTTCTTTGCATGTAACATACTTCGACAAACTTCTGCAAGATGTCGGTTCTTTCTCTCAGCTATATCATTTTGTTGCGATGTGTTGGCACAAGTGTACTGATGACGTATTTGACATTCCCTTAGGTATTGAGAGAACTCACTTGAGCTATATTCTCCTCCGTTATCTGTGCGCAGGCAACAGATCTTCTTTCCCACTTCTTCTTCGGCTGACTCTCTGAACTCTTTGAACTTTGAGAATGTGTCAGATTTATCTTTCATAAAGAAGACCCACACATACCTTAAAAAGTCATCAATGAATGTCACCATGTACCGCATACCACCAATTGACAATTGGTTAATTGGTCCGAACACATCAGAGTGAACTAACTCTAATGGTTCTTTTGCTTTAAACTTCAATTCCTCATATGGCAATTGGTGTGCTTTACCATACTGGCATCTTGCACATATTGTGTTTGTTCGCACGTCAAGTTGAGGAAGCCCCTTAAGCATTAACTTTTTCACCATCACACTTGGAATAGCTAATGTGACCTAACCGCATGTGCCATAGATCTGATGTCTCATTTTTCCTTGTCCTATCTACATATGCAGATTCTGCTGACATTACGTAGACTGACTCCAATCGTCGCCCCTCCATTGTTGGTATTTCTAAGATTTTGAGGTCACGATACACCTTTACATCTCGTGGACCGAACAAGACATTGTGGCCTAATGATGTTAATTGGGCCACAGATAGCAATTTTTTTTTCATTCCTAGGACATGATAAACATCTTGAAATGGCACCTGGTTAGAATTATATCGAGGCGTAACTATCGTCTTACCGATGTGAGCTATCGGTAACCTTGAGTTGCCAGCTGTCACCACCACACGACCTCCCTTGTATTCAGATAGGTTTTACAACTTTTGTTTATCACCCGTCATATGATTTGAACAGCCCGAATCTACGATCCAATCATTTTTGTAGTCAATTCGTTCTTGTGTTGTTACCGTGAGGGCTAATTCTTCTTCCTTCGTAGCGAATAATGCTTCAGCATCCCAACCATCTTCACTATTCTCCTTCGAACTGGAAGTAGCAATATTACTTTCAACAGACTTTTTCTTGGTCCAACAATCTTTCACCATGTGGCCCATCTTCCCGCAGTTGTAACACTCGCCATCAAACTTTCTACTATTACCGTGATTCTTTGAAGGTCCCCCTGGACGAGAGCCTTCCTTTCCTTGGTGACTTTTCACCTTGTCTCCATCCTTTTTAGATCAACTATCAGTGTATCGCTTGAAAGTGCCTTTGCTTTTAATGGTGTAGAGCGCTTCCTCTTCACCCTTCAGCAAGACTCATTCCATTTGCTTGGCCATAACTTTTTGACCTGCAAGCAAATTTTCAAACTCAACAAGCGATGGTTGTGTCAGCCATCCCTGTATAACGGCAACAAACCCTCGATATTCGGGTCTCAAACCATGGATAATTATTCTCTTCATCCTGGTTTCCCCAATAGGAGCTGTTGGATCTAACTCTGAAATTTCGTGGCATATCGACTTCACCTTGTGAAAGTACTGGGCAATCGTCATGTCGTGTTGCACCATCGATATCAGCTCGTTCTTAAGAAGTTGCAGTCTTGTATCATTCTTCTTTCAAAAAAGTGTAACAAAAGTGTCACATGCTTCCTTTGGCGTTTTGGCATCCCGGATGTGCTCCAACATTTCTTCTTCAATTGTGGTCTTTAAAGTAAACATCGATTTGCCTGCTTTAATTTTCCACTTTTGCAAGATGCCATTGGCATCTTCTGCCGCCGGTTGTGCAACCTCACCACCACCGACAACCTCCCAAAGGTCCTGACCTTCTAAGTAAGACTCCATACATGTTGCCCACGTATTGTAGTTTTTGTTGTTGAGCTTCTTAATTCCTCCAGCTACTTGAAGGTCACCCATCGTGCCGACAAGACCTCGACTATACCGATCAAGCTTGACTAACAAACTTGTAGAGTACCAAACTCCTCACAACTCAAGATAGCTCCACCAAGAACGATCCCTGACCGTCCCACTCTTATGCCAATTGTTGAGAAAAATTTAGAATAAATAACTCGAAATTTTATATGTCAAAGAAGAAATTCATTCGAAAATTTGAGACACAACAAAAGACATTATTAAACTGAAAATATTACAAAGAAAGCTCTCAACTCTCACAAACACTCAACACACTATAAGACTTGTAGTCTTATTTTCTTCTTCACTTCTCGATGATTTACAAGGCTAGAGTACTTGGGTATTAATAGCAAGCTATATGAAATACACACTACACATTTATTTAAACTAATTAATTCCCTATCACACAAAGTGCTTTGCAGCAAACTTGCCACAAAATATCATCTATTCCACACATGTTGAGAAGTTTCTATGAGCTTCAACAAA